TTTTTATACCAAATTTTGGACTTCCAATCCTCTATTAAACTCGCACTAGCGAAAAATATAAAAAAATATTTCCAATAAATAAAATGATCAAAATACCCTTGAAAGATTCAATGGGTATTTTGTTCATCATATTTTATCAAAAATTTATTTTTAATATTTTTTTATAGGCACGCCCCAATGAGAAGATGACACTTACCAATTTCATAGTTATATAATTTGTATTAAAAAACTAAAAATAAAATACTTTGAGACGTCAGATCTAAGATCAAACGGTGAGTAGCTCTCTTAATCAAAATTGGACGGTTGGATGATTGGGGAAGCATAGATCCTTTATGCTGTAAGGGAAGTATAGAAACCTTTAAATATATATATATATATATATATATATATATATATGGAAAATATTAAGATGAGCCCACTGGCTCATATGAACATATATGTTAGTCTGAGCCGATCTAACGGTTACGACCTCATTTCGTATTTGAATTTTAAGTTTTTTTCTACAAATCAAATAATTTGAAATTTTAGGCGTTTATTCTTAAAAAATAAGAGAATCTAATAAAAATATCAAAAAAATAATTTGCAAGAAATAAATTGATCAAAATAGCCTTGAAAACATTTCACGGCTATTTTGGTCAATTTGTTTTGCAAAGTATTTTTAAAATATTTATATTAGGTGCGCCTTGATGACAATAATGCACACCTAAAATTTCAAATTATATAGCTTCGTAGAAAAAAAAATTCAAAAACGAAATAAAGTTGTGATCGTCAATCTTGGCGGTTGTGCTCATATGTTCATATGCGCTAATGAGCTAATCTCAGCATTTTTCTATGTACAATAATATATACTATTTTAAAAATTAGGTCGGATCTGGATCGAATCTAAATATACTAGATCTGATATAAATTATTATTTAGATCCAAATATTATACTAGATCTGTATTTCAAATCCAAATCTTAAATCTATACCCAGATCCAGATAGGATCCGAATTCCTAGTTTTAGATCTAAACTAAGTAAATTTTGAGCTGTAGAATTCTAGTACCAAAACAACATCTTTTAACTCTACTTAAAAGTTCACTTTATTTTGATTGTTTAGGGCCACAACCATATACAAACCTCACGCTTGTGATACTTACATAATAAGATCATGGGTGCAGTTGCATATAGATGCATCCGTAGCTGTAGAGGTAAGATGCATCTTTAATTTTTATCATGGTATATAATTTTGATATAAAATGTTATTAAGATTTTCTCAAAATCTATTTTTATATCTAATTATAAAATTTCAAATTTAAAAAATGGTTAAAATAAGTAGATCTATAGACATATGAAAATCTTAAAAATGGACGGTATAGATAATATGTTATAAAATGCACTATTTTTTAGACTTAAAATCTTTTTATTTTTTATGCTCATACATCTTGATGTCAACGATGTCGAGGTGATCTATCAAACGATTTTTCAACATTAAAACTACTTTTTTCGATGGATTTTTGAGGTGCATCCGTAGTTCTACATTATAAAGTTGCATCTTTATATAAACTTTTTCTTAAAATCATTTATTTTTTTTACATTTATCCATGGAGGTTTCAATCACTTTTTTTTTCTTTTAAATTTGACTATAATACTGCCATTGAATAAAACAAATTTCTAAAATTATAATTCTCGGACTCCATTCGCCCCGAGCCATCCAATTCGCCCCGAGCCATCCAATTTGATCTATTGATCGTGAACGATTCTAACCTCGATGTATAAGAGATGAAAGTCCTCGTGGACAGTTCCATGAAAAATAAAATTAATTTCTGGCCGTTCAAGAGTGTGCGCCTGTACTGTTCGGCTGAGACTGAGAGATACCGGGAGAGAGGAGGGCTGGGAATCTCTGAGGAGGAGGTGAGGGAGAGGGAGAGGGAGAGGGACAGGGAGAGAAGAGAAGCAGTAAGAGTTGAAAGAGGAAGAAAGAAAGAGAATATAACAAAAGGAAAGAGAGAGGAAGAAAGAAAATGGCGGCGAAATTGAGCAGCGCTGCGGCCCGGATTCTGGGAGGGAATGGGTTGTTGTTGAGAGGGCGTTCCTCTCTCCGCCACCGTTCCGGCATGGGCCTCCCTGTTGGAAAACACATAGTTCCTGACAAGCCTGTGAGCTCTTACTCTCACCCCAAATAATGAATCAGTCAATCGATACATACCCTTTTTGATTATTTTCTGCTTTCCCCTTTCAATCTCAAATAATTAGTAATCTATCAAAAAAATCATGGTGTGTTTCCACACCGCAGAAAGTCGGTTTTTTCACTGGATTCCTTGATTAAAATGGAGAATCAATTGCTGGTGATTGGGAACCTTTTTCCTTTTCTTCTTATATGACTCTTTGATTTGGTGCAATTTAATTGCTTTTGATCTTCTTTTACTTTTGAGATTATGGTGACTTGGGTTCTTTTTTTACCTCTGTTTTGTTCTGAACATTGACTTCAGCTTCCGGTGAATGATGAGCTGATCTGGGACAATGGGACTGCTTATCCAGAGCCCTGCTTGGATAAGTTGGCTACAACGGTTGGGGAGGTAATCCCTAAATGCTTTGTATGTTGATCGATAACGGGGAAATGTGCTTCGAGTGGTGCTAGTTACAGGTTCTCTTTAGACATTGTTTCTTTTTCTTATGGAAACCTTCGAGGCTTCTATAGTATGAAGTTGAGTGCTGTATATTCTAATGTGAGTTTTGGGATTGCTGTTGTTCACAACATTGAGTTCTGTTCTGTTGTTATTGAATGTATCGAATAGAATATATTGCTATTATTATTATTAGGTTCCTATCTCTATTATTATTATTGATAACTAATTGTCCTTGATTGGTTTTGGGATGGAATCCAAGACAAGATCATGTTTTGGTATATGATCCATTGGATTAGTTCAACTTGTAAGTAGCCATGTGTTATTAAATTTTTGGAAATGGTGATTACATTCTACTGAGTCTTGCGTTTCTTGAGGACTTTGAGCATAAATGGCAATGTTTAAAAAACAAAATTTTGAAATGGTGGTTGGCAATTCCTAATTCCTTCATTTTTAGGGGGACGGTTTCTTCTCTCTTCCTTTTTTCTGCTCTGGAGACTTAGGAGGAGCTGTTCCCTTGACGTAAAAAAGTTTTGGCGTATCAGTTCTATAAAAAGTTAGTGTCATCGTCAAGTGGCTCTAGTAGTTCTATCTTCTGCATGGGCCTATGATACAAGATGTAGAGTCTCCCATCTAACCTAATGCATCAAGAGTGCCAGTTAGGGAAGTATTTTAGTTGTTATCTCTCCCGCTGTAGTCCTTTCAACAGTAAATAAATTATCCTTTGTCGGTAGATCCAGGCGTTTTCAGTTTAGATGATTCAATATTATGTCAAAAATGTTTAGGCTGGTATGGCATGTACTTTTTTTGTTGTTTATGCCATTTTTTCTGTCTTTATTTTTGAAACTGATGCACATGTGAGCATGGGATAATGGGTTTCTTATCCGTCTTATGTTTTTACCTGTTATGATCAGCAGCAACGGATTTTTATTGACTTAGCTCTTGACTGAATTTTTGTTTTGTCTTTTGTTTTTCAGTATGAGGCCTTAGCTTGGCTATGTGGAGGTTTGGGGTTTTTTGCATCTCTCGGACTCTTAGCTGTATGGAATGACAAAGCATCAAAAATTCCATTTGTAAGTTTACAATCTTTCTCGCTTGCAGCGTAGTTATTCTACATTGTTCATGTATTAGTTTAGTGCCCCTTTAATAGATTACGCTTTATGATGAGTTTATAGATAATTTTTACTTTTGCATTGTTCATATGGTAGATACATACTACTTCCTTAACTTCTTTTTCTATTTTTTGTTTCTTTTGCTTTTCATATTTGAAAATTTATTTTGGTTTGAATATATAGATTTAAAACATGAAAATCAATTGCTTGTATATATTTTATATCCATGATTCATATTCTGTAATTAGTATTTTTTTTTTAATTTCTTTCTTAGTTGAGTAATTTAGGAAGGATTAGATCCTTTGCAAACGATGAACTACACTTTTTTTAGTAGATGGTTGGTAGTTACTTTGTGATCTATTCATCCAAATGGCATCTTATTCTGGATAAGATGAAGCATTAGGTCTGCTGTTACATTGGAAATTTGCAAAGGAATGTATAAGCATTGAGTGGAAGTGAAAAAGTGGATTGTGAATGATATTTTAGCATGAAGGCAAGCTAAAGAAGTGAGTTTGTTGTTAGAATGTAAAACGTTTTGAATGACGACATGTCTAGCCATCTGTTGCACGAATAATGACAAAAATCATCAACATTTAGCAATCGTATTAGATTTAGTTCTCTTTGGATGAAGAGGCTCCATAGTTTGCCGCAGTCCAATAATCCTTCCTTATGCATGTGAGACCTTGGTGGTAACAAACATGAGATTGGAGAGGTCTAACGCTTTAGAGTGATAGCTGGTGGGATTTTGTGTACTACCAAGACCAATAGTGGTGTCTTACATGGTCAATCCATGACCAACATGACCTGATGGGACCTAAGCATGGTACATATGCTATATGTTTGGTTGATATACACCTGAGTTGGTTTGGTGTTGACCAATAATGGTTAAGTGTGTGTTCAAATTGTGTGAGATCCCGGACATGGGCATATGTATTAGTCAGGCCATGCGAAAGTAAATGTAGTGAATGCATAATGAGCTCGATTAGCCGTTGTACGTTTGAGTTGGTATGCATGGGACAATATGTAGAATGGGTTGACCTGACAAGTAAGAACCTGCCCCCTGGTTAATGTGCCATGGACAAGCCATTGATGTGGGGGCTGAAGCTTGTAACTACTACACTACATGGTGGGCTGTAGTGGTGGTGCGTTTAGGGCTTTGTGTGTAATCTATGGGCCGTGTTTGAAAAATTAGAAGCTGGCTCCAAATCACCGTGGGTTTGATTATAATTTACTAGGTCAGACTGGAGTGGTTCTCAATTCTATTCAGGATATGTTTAACCAAAAAATTTAAACATTCTACGGAATTTAGAAAAACTGGTGATTCAAGGGTTTTTCAACATGGAACTGCTAGGCTCCCTTTTCCGAACAAACTCCGGCGATTGCTCGTCAGGCCAGTGGTTTTTAAATTGCTGTTGATGGTTTAGTGTGTGGGCATGGTCAGGGCTATATAACTGCTTTTCCCTGATCCTTGAGAGGCCTTTGTGGCTTTAAATGACAAAGTTTATATAGAAATGAGAGTGGGCTACAACCATTTTTTGTGCTTTATGTGTGTCTTGTGTGCTTGTCTAGCTTCCATTCCTCTTTTGTGTTTTTGAGGAAGACTGACCTTGGCTTAGTTCTAGGTTTGGCTTTCTCTAGGTGTCGCACGGTGTGGCTAAAGTAAAAATCAGCCCTATGACAGATGATACAAATGAGAGTAAGCCTGGGAAGGACATGATTAGGTGATTGAGATTAACCACATTTGGTTCTCCTTTCCCTCTTTACAAGCGAACTCCTATTACCCTTTGCAATGGCAAGGGCATGCAGCACCTGCTTTCCTAAGGTGGAGCTCCTTCCCCATGGGTGCGTATGTTGTGTGTGTGTGTGTGTGTGTGTGTGTGTGTGTGAGAGAGAGAGAGAGAGAGAGAGAGAGAGAGAGAGAGAGAGAGAGAGAGAGAGAGGAGAGTACTACTACTATAAGTTAGTAGTAGTACGTACGTTACGTTTAGTTAGTTAGTAGTAAGTAAGTAGTAGTAGTAGTACTACGTACGTA